GTCTATCTAATCACACATGCATAGGCCATTTCACTCTCTGGTGTCCATCTATCGACCGACTCGTCCATTTCACAGTTTACTGGCTTGTGATTCCAGCCTTGCGTTGCCATGAGGCCAGCTTGTGCTGGTAAAACAGACATTCCCCAAGGAGGAAGGATCAAAGTAGGCTTGAGCCAATTTCCCTCCTTACAGACCATTTGAGATGGTAACCCTTTTTCTTTTTTCAGAAAAAACCTCGATTATCTTCTACAGAATCCTCCGTTTCCCGTTTCCAACAGCTTCCTGCTCGCTCGTCGGGCTCTCTTTCCTCCCACACTGATTTCATTCACCGTCGCTTTTACAATCACTTTTCGTCTTTCCTCTTTCTGCTTCTACTCAGTTATTTAGATTTTTCGCGTTTCACACCCCGTTTTACATCCCTTCCACATGTGACTCCATCTGCAATCAGCATCTTTTCCGCCCACAGTGTCCCCTTTACCTTATTTCCACATTAGTACAAGTGAAACCTTCATTTAGACATACCATTCTTCCTGTTGCCATCTCCTATTAACTTTTCTGCCTACTTATTTCATCCCATTGAGTCCCTAAATTGTGGTCATTCTGCTCTTTTTCATCCAACATGACGACTCTACACCAAGATTTCTAGTCAGCTCAAGTCGCATCGTGTCCATTTTCCCACAACCACGCGAGTAGGCCTCATGTTTCCATTACATTTCATCTTGCCTCGTGTCTCAAAAGGCTTCTACTTTGCCCGGGTCTCATCAGCGGGACTCGAACCCGGATAGTTCGACACGCCACACAGCCACGAGCGACTCTGGGTGCTCAGGGCGACGTGAATTTCAAGAAAGTTCAAGCTCTTCCCATGCCAATTTTGTATATTGGCAAGTTTACATTTTTGCTCGAAGGTATGAAGACCAAGATCTTGTGGCCTTTTGTGTAGAGAAGTTGCTTGACCTTGTTTTTGCAACTTGGTCAAACTGGTAGGAAGACTTAAAAGGAACGCACCTTGTCCGGAGTCCATTGTATGCATCATCATTTCCAGAGTAGGACCGTGAACGTCGTACATTCCTAGACGTTTCGCCGAGTTGCGAAAACAAGGTCAATCAACATTTTGTTGAGCTTACTTCCATTTTGAGTGGAAGTGTTGGGTGAAGAGATTCGAAGATTGGTTCCACCAGAAGACAACGGTAGATTCCTCTTGACCAACTGTCGATTGGCTTTACTGGAAGATTCATGCTGACGCTGTTTCTGAGGCAATCTCCATCGATTCCGGTGAAAAGGTGCTAAGCTTCCGTCCGTAATATGACAGACATCATCAGAGCGAGGAAGCATCATAACAACC